AGGCCTCGTCAACTATCGCCTCATAGAAATCTCGAGCTCATAATCTAATTGTTAATTGGTAATTACCTGAGTAAACAAACCCTGGCCATGCCATTTTATTTGGCGTATTTTGTTTGCTTAGTGGCTTATCATTGGTATCTTTGTAACAGAAAATAGAGGACTGTTGTTCTTTTAAAAGCTATATTGTTGGGGTTTGTGGCTATAACACTTAAGATCGAGAGCGTAAAACTGAAATTGTTCCGTTGCTTTCGTGCAATAAAATATCAACAATCATAAGTTTACTAATAAATTAACCGAGTCGAGCTGATTTTATGCCGAGCGGCGAAGTTCACCAAAATCGGAAAGTTTGCGCACCATGTGACGACATGTCCTAACCATCGCACAAAACTTGGATTAGGGCGGAGCAGAAGGTTTAGCACCCCGGGGATCAGGGGACTCCTGTATAAAAGACGGAGGTGCTCGTCGGAAATTTTGAAAAGAGCCCCATGGGTACCAAGATGCTGTTTTCTGGGCGTGGCTTGGAAGTTTTTTCCTCCCCTTAGAGGTACTTATTCCCACGAAGACATGATTAATCATCGCAGTTATGCACACAACTTAAGTGGTTGTGAAATTAAAGCCTGAAAAAGATTCAGGCCTCAATTTCACAACTGCTTAAGTTGTGTGCATAACTGCGATGATCAGTCATGTCTTGATCTCTTTCTCCGCAGTTCAAATATTTGATATTTCATATATTCATTTGCACTAACTCTTACATAACACATAATCTCAAGTCGTATTTTTTCGGCTCAATACCCTAAAAGGTACTGCAGAAGCTCCCGCTGTGGACCTTTTGACACTAAGTATCCTAGGAGATACCAAACCGCGTTTTTAACCCCTAAAAGTTGTGACAAGCAACCGCGTCATTTATATATGAGCGTTTCCCCCTTGGTGTCCAGCAGCAGGTGCAGGGTTCTGGAAGGAATTTCCAATTATTGCAAAGGCAAAGGACCGTGTCTAAAGGGTGAAAGAGGGTTGGGAAAGAAGGAGTCAGAGGTAATCTTACGCAAAATTGGTTCGTTCGCGTTCGTTCGTCCAAGTTGGGTCATGTACCATACGCGTCATTCAGCGCGCGCTTGCGCTCTCTCGATCCCTCTCCCACACATTTGTTTTTTGACAAATCTTTACAAAATTCCTCCCCAAGCCAGCTCTCAGTTGTTATCGCTGAATCTCACGTAAACGCTTCAGGCCTCAATTTGGACATTTTGTTTCCATGCGGAAATCGGACGACATCGGACATGTAAGAAAAACTACGAACCGGTGAGGGGATTGGAAAAAATTGTCGTGTCAAAAATTTAAAAAGCATGTGTGGGAGAGGGAGGGAAGCGCGAGTGCGCGTTGGATGACACGTTTACGATTAAGTAACGGTACGATCTCGTTGCGAAAAGCGATTTGAGAAAATACATTGCAAAAGAAGCTAAAATTCTCCAACTGTCGTAAAATTAT